TTTCTTATCACGCCATCCTCTGAAGAGGTTACCCAACTTGTGGATAGGGAATCGGAACACAGACCACTGGCTTCTTCCATGCTGAACAGGGACACAGGGTGAGGCAACTGGAGTACTCCTTCAGTGGGTCTTTCTAAAAGACTCCCAAATTACATAACTCTTAACTGTAGGTAGTAAAAGCCCTTGATTGGTGCCTAGGAGATGTGAAGGAGAAGTAAAGGCATCATTTCTAAGCTTTTGAGAGGGAACTGACACTGATTCTAGCCACTCCAACAGCTATCAGAGTACCTGAAAACAAATCCCGAGTTCATCACTCTTGAGTCCAGCGTGGCAGACAAAAGGAAAATGAGGAGGAACCGAGTAGAGGGATGCTTTTAGAAGCTCTCATCAAGAAATCCCAATGAATTCTGATAGGAATAGTTGAAATTTGCCCTGTTCTGACTTTTTTCTAGTTCCCTGTCTAGAACTTATAATACTAATTACTCTTGTCTTTACTTTTCCTTCACATCTCCTATTGGTGGGGTTTTTTTGAGACAGGGTCTTCCTGTAGTCCCAGCTGGAACTTTCTGTGTAGACCAGACTGACCTGGATCCCACAGGGATCCACCTGCTTCTGCCTCCGGAATGCTAGGACTAAAGGTGTGCACCACCATGCCTGGCACCAAATTTATTTTTAATATTTTATTAGCATTGCTTTCTTTAAGAAGTAACATGATTACATTCAAAGACTTTGTATGGGTGGGAAATTTGGAAAGGGAGTGGCAAACTCACATTATAGGAACAGTGACAAATTTCACATTGTTGAAACTTGGTAGTAGTTTTGTCAGTAAACAGTATTCAAAAATTACAGGAGTTGGAATGGTGGACCCCCCTACCCCCACGAACCAGAGTTGTGGTCTTACGTGAACCTGAAGCTGCATCCCATCTTGTGAGCTGGAACTGTGGTCACCTTACATGAGCTTGCTGCTTTGGACCCCTACTGTAAGCCACGGGTCCACATTACTCTGGTTGATGGTGGAACAGAGTAGAGCATGGAGGACTTCCTGATATTGGGCAGCAGTTTCAGTCTTCTCTGACTACATTCCTCACAACCTCCTCCCCTGAGGTCCCAGCTTGTGCATGGCTTTGCCTCTTATGCTGAGGACAGGGAAGGCCTCTGTTATTTGCAGATTCTGGTCCTGGGAGGACTGATTCTCTAGAATGGACCTCCAACCTCCCCTGATGGCCAGCTGTGGTCTTCACTGCATACATGGTCTTGGGTATCCAGGCCTTGATGGTGGAGTCCTCCCATTCCCAGACACCAAGAGGTTTTCCATTTCTCTAGTATGTCTTCTCTTTTACAGCTCCAATATGCTTCGCCTACACCCTAATTAAATTTCTGGAGATAAAAATCAGTCTGGGAGATTAGAGATGATGGTCCAGGGGCTAAGAGCACTGGCTGCTCTTGCAGAGGACCCAGGTTCGATTCCCAGCACCCACATGGGGGCAAGCACTGTCCAAACTCCAGTTCCAGGAGAGTCTGATGCCCTCTTCTGACCTCCAAGGGTACTCCATGGCACAGGTGTACTTATTTACATGCAGGCAATACACTTGTACACATAAAATAAAATAATAAAATATACTAAAAAATCAGTCTGGAAAGTTTGAAAAAAAGACAACACTGTAATAACTAAACTAATTGTCAAAAATATGTAATTAGAGCTTAGAATATAAATTTGAAACTAATTTTTGAGTATTGTTTAAAGTGTGTGTGTGTGTGTGTGTGCCTCTTGTTACTACATATGAGTGGAGCTCAGAGGACAACTTGTGATAGTCTGAGCGCTCCTTCTATCATGTGGATAGAGTTCAGGGACTGAACTCAGGTCATCAGGCTTGGCAGTATGCACCTTTTCCTGCTGAGCCATCTCACTGGCTATTATTAGCATTCCACAATTTTTCACATACACTATACATGTAAGGTGGCCAAAAAGATACAAGATGTTCATAGGTGAGGTTATGGGAAGAAAATAAAATACATAAAAGATGATTTGGATGGTAGGAGGAGGGCTCTATTTAGGGAGATCTCTTTGGGAGGAATGGGGAGAAATCCCAGGAATGAGGTATCAGAGACTTGACACTGAATTCTAAGTTTTCACTTTATCGTGGACCCCCTTACCTAGAACTACAAGCATATGAGCTTTTTAAAATTTTTTTTTTAATTTTTATGCATATGTGTGTATTGCCTGCATGTTGGTAAGTGCACCCGTGCCGTGCAATGCCTGCAGAAGACAGAAGGGGCTGTTGGATCCCCTGGGACTGGAATTACAGACAGTTGTTTGCTGCCATGTGGGTGCTGGGATTCAAACCTGGGTCTTCTGCAAGAACAGCCAGTGTTCTTAACTGCTGAGCCATCTCTCCAGCCTCAAGCATGTGAGCTTTACACGGCGTGGTGGTAGGAGAGCAAAGGGAAGTCCTGCCTTGCCCCTCCCTGCCAGATCACAGAATTCTATCACTGGCTGTGTTCTAGAAATTTCTGATGAAGTAGCTATAATAGAACTAAGTCAGCAGGACTCTTGAGGCAGAGTACACTGGCTTCACTGTAGCAGAGAGGGAAAGCCAACATCTGGGTCATGTGCAGACATAAATGTGCACTTTTAATAAATGTCAATTCCTCTACTTTCCCCCTAGCCCTCCACTGCATGCCAAGGAGGACAGATTAGAAAACAGTTTGGGTTTTGGTTAGGCTGGATAATTCACTCCGTTCCCTCCTGCATTTATGGCCTCCTTGTCACTCTATGTAATTAGCTTTGAAAATACTGAAAGAGATGGCACTATACCAAACTGTTTGCCCCATGAGCCTGCCCTGCTTTTATCTCTTATCAGCAACAGAATTCAGGTCATTAATATTCTAGAATGCAAAGCAACAGATCTGGAAGTCTTCTAACAGCACATATTCACGTCCTGTCCTTAAGGAGACAGGACTGAGGGAGACTGTCCAGACCTTTCAGCCTTTTCTATCCTTCTGGATAATCTACTGGGATGAAATTGGATGTAACTCTGGATATGGAAAGAAAAAAAAAAATCTAAAGATAGAAGGTTGGGGGGAAGCAACAGAAAAGCAGGCCTTGGTTGCTGTGACTGAAAGAGCCAATGCTTTACCAGGACAAGCGGTAAGTGGAAGATCTTGGATGTCATACCCACAGGCTCTCTATCCGAAGCACATTTACTTACTTTCCAAGCTTTGCCTAGGATTTATGGGTTTGTTGGTTCCTACAAATTAGTTATAAATTGAGACTATATTAACTTTTTTCCTGGTCCAGAACTACTTACGTTCCCACTTGAAATTTTCATTTTTTCTCTTCCTCAGAAATCTCTGAAAGTCAAATTCAAATAAGCTTTTCCCCTGGTTCTTCAGAAACTTACAGAAAAGAAGTACTAACAGATACTTTGTATACCTAAGCCTAGATACCTTGTATACATACCTAAGACAGTTACCTTCTTTCCTCCCATCTCATGCTCTTCTGTTTATTCTCAACCAAGATTTATTGTATCAAACATTATGTAACAAAACTGTCTTTTCCCCCACTGAAGCTTCTAGCAGAGGCTCTGTCTTTTTTTGTATCTTTCAGAGCCTAGCAGGTATTAAATACTAGCTTGATGGCTTATATAATGAAGTGAATGTTGGGTCCTCTCCCCACCCCCAGAATTCAGAGGTTGAAATCCTAACCCCCAAGGTGATGGTATGAGTCTTTGGGAGGTAATTAGATCAGAGGGTGGAGCCTTCATCACTGTGATTAGTACCGTTCAAAGAAGGGACCCCAGAGGGTTTTCTTGCTCTGTTCCCATCATTATGATACTAGAAGTCAGAAGAAGGGTCTCACCAGAAACCAATCATACTGATGGATCATGGATTTTGAGGCTTCAGAACTGTGAGGAATAAGTTTCTGTTGTTTTATAATCCAGCCAGTCTGTGGTACTTTGTTATACCAGGCCAACTAAGACAACTGATTTTCAGTGAATTCTGTCCACTTGTTGGAAATTTCTAGGTATCATGATTCTCTACAGAGACTTATCAGGACACTTCTTAAGCATGCACAATTCTTACCAGGGTGACTTAGAGCTTAGCAGAAATCAGACTGTATCAGAAGGCACAGAGTAAGTGAGATTACAGCTCTGTTCACTTCACTTCCCAGCCTTCAGCAACCATGTGGTAAGACTTGCTTAAGTTCTGAAAAACAACTCATTCAACACATACTTCAGTATCATGTATGGCACATAAAGGCTTAGTCATTGACAAATGAGTCCTACTAGAAAATATACATTAACCATCTTATATTTTAATATTTATGTGAGTGTTTTGCCTGCTTGTATGTAGGAGCACTTATGTCATGCAGTGCTCACAAAAGATGTCATATCCCCTGGAACTGGAGTTACAGAGGGTTGTTAACTGCCATGTAAGTGCTGGGAACCAAACCCAGGTCCTCCAGCCCAAATCTTTTTTTTGGGGGGGGGGTGAAACAGGGTCCTTCTGTTGTCCCTGCTGGCCTGGAACTCAATATGTAGACCAGGCTGTCCTCAATCTCAGAGATCTGCCTCCCTCTGCCTCCAGAGAGGTTAAAGGCTCACTGTAGCCCCAACTGGCCTGGAACTATGTCGACCAGGCTGGCCTTGAACTCACAGAGATCTGCCTGTCTCTGCCTCCCAAGTGCTGGGATTTAAGGCTTGCACCACCATGCCCAGTGCCTCCCATCTTATTTTAAATTCATTAGCAGTTAATAAGAATTCAGTAAAATAGGGGCGGGAGAGATGGCTCAGTGGTTAAGAGCACTGACTGCTCTTACAGAGGACCTGTGTTCAATTCTCAGCACCCACATGGCAGCTAACAACTGTCTGTACTCCAGTTCCAGGGGAATGCAACACTTCCTGACCTCCACAGGCATTGCACAGCACAGGTGCACTTACACACATGCAGGCATAACACTCTATACAAAATAAAACTAAAAATAAAAGAATTCAGTAAAATAGAGAGCGTGCACTAAGTAATCTTTATTGATGATTCACATTCAGTTATTCTCTTCATTATCAGTTAATTGTACAAGTATGATAAGTTATTTTCCATTTGCTGTGGGAATTTAAATGTAAAATAAATACAAAATACATTTGTGGTTTAAATGAATACTCAATGAAGCATTTTTTTTTTTTTTCTGAGGTATTCCTTATGGTCTGGTTTTATCCAAGATCTGTCGTTTTAGTTCCCTAGGAATAGTCTGTTACACAATGGATCTGTGAACTTGTGAGCCAAGTCCACTGTGAACTAGTGAACTTGAGTTTTAATTACATTAGACATATTTTTTGATCTCATCATACAATACCAATACAAAAGCACCACCCATGCCTCTCAATACATTGGACCAGGCACCTTTGAAGAAAGCTTTGGCTCCTTCATCTTTTGCAATCTTCCTCCAGCAATCAAGTGTCCCCGTATACATAATGTCAGCTGTGGAGACAAATGTGGGTAAGGGATCCATAACTCTGGAAGAAAGAGACTTTTCTTCTGAAGAACCATACAATGGGTCACTTGGTCATCAAGCCCCAGACTATGCCACACTGGACCAGACATCTTTCTTGCATAACTGTTGGGCAGGTCTCCTGTTGTCCAACTCAAGATCAGTTAAGAACTGGGCCAATCAACCAGTTAACACAAGTCAAACTAAAATGGGTAGATGTGCAAAGGAGGTATTACCAATGCATGGATGCCTTTTTATGGATAAGCAAACGAGCCATGCTCTCAGATTACACTGCCCAAGATTATAAAAGAAACATTAAAAATATGACAATTAGGTTATATGAAACTGCCTAACATTTGGTTGTTTTTTACTTAAGAATAGAAATTTCATGTTTTTACCTGTAGAAGCTAAAACTATCAAAGCAGACTGTTTCACACCACTTCTCACAAGCTAAAACACTGTTTATTCCATTAACACTTGTAATAACTGCATAAAAGGAAATAAATTTTTTTGATTGAACAGCTAATTCTTTGAACTTTACTTCTGCACCCAGACTCCAAAGAAAGAGGGCCTAAGGTCTCTACAATGCTAGATACTTAGGTTTACCTCTAAATACTTCATCTTTTGATGGTCTTACAATCTTTTTAATAAAAATTCCCTAAAGGAAAAGTTGGGGTGTGGTGGAATTACAGTCTTTGTTCCCTAAGTCATTATCAAGTAATCTTGCCAGTCAGCATAGAATGAGGCCTCTCATCACTGAACAGGGTTCTCCACAGGCAAAACAAGATTCACATGAGTAGAGTTCATGCTTACCCCCTTTCCGGCCAGACTGCATCATCATCCTACGACGAACAGTGTCAAAGGGGTAGGACACCAGCCCTGCGACCGCCGTCACGCTCTGTGCAATCATCCAGCTCACAATAATGTGCACATTCTTGGGGTCTGGCAACATCCCTGTGAGCAGAGCCAAGAAGCAAATGACTATCTGGTTGTTCTTCTCAGCAGCTCAATCAAAAGCAGGTGAAGGGGAAGACAAGGCTACAACTCTCCAACTCCACGCCCTGCCCATCCACAAGAACCTACTCCTCCCACGGAAGCCCCTCATGCATTCAGGGAGCCAACCAGGTTGCTGCAGCTCTAGATCGAGGGAAGCTAAAGTTCTACACGTTGACATGGAGGTGGCTTCTAGTTAAACTGGCTGGCGCAGCTGTGTCAAGACAGAACGAGGCTCTGTCTCCTCTCTGAATAGCTCAAGGCCAAAGTGCTTTTCAGTAAAAGATACCAAAAATCCTTTGGCCATTAAATTGTCTACACTCACACCACATCACCTCCTCAGAACTCAGTTCAGCTCAGAAATGAGAAAGGAACAAGATTAACCTTTTTTTTTTTTTTTTTTTTTTTTTTTTTTGAGACAGGGTCTCCCTGTAGCCCCAGCTGCCCTGGACCTCACTATGTAGACCGGGCTGGCCTTGAACTCAGAGATACGCCTGCCTCTGCCTCCAAGTGCTGGGATTAAAGGCATGCGCCACCACACCCTGCTAACCTAAGTGTTTAGGGAGCTCTAAGTCTGTAAAATCCTCTCTGCATGCACCCTCTTCCCCTCAAAGCCCTCTCACCCTTGGCAGTATCATAGACTCCGAAGTAGGCAGCTCTGTAGATGATAATGCCCTGGACAGAGACGCTGAAACCCTGGTAGAGACCCTTCAGGCCATCAGACTTGAAGATCTTGGTGAGACAGTCGCCCAGCCCACTGAACTCACGCTGGGCAGAACCCTTGCCCACATCGGCAGCCAACCTGGTTCTAGCAAAGTCCAGCGGGTAGACAAAGCAGAGGGAGGTGGCCCCAGCTGCCCCACCGGAAGCCAGGTTCCCAGCAAAGTAGCGCCAGAACTGCTTGTGCCGGTCCACGCCCCCCAGGAAGATCTGCTTGTACTTGTCCTTGAAGGCGAAGTTGAGAGCTTGGGTGGGGAAATACCGGATCACATTGGCCAGGTTACCCCTCCAGAAAGAGAGAAAGCCCTGCTCCTTGGGGATTCGAACGACACAATCAATGATCCCTTTGTACTGTTTTTCTGCACTGATCTGTTTGCTGGCATGCTGGACCTGGGGGGGTGAAGGAGAGGAGAAGGGGTGGGTGATAGGGGACAGGCAAAGAGGACAGAAGATGGAAAAAAGGTTTGTACTTCCCTTAATTTCCTGGTTTTTGTTTTGTTTTGTTTGGTCTTCCTATGTAGCCCAGGCTGGCCTGGAACTCAGTAATCCCTCCCAATGGCTGAGCTGAGATTACTAGTATACACCACCATGCCCAAGATCCACCCCCCTTTTTTTCCCAGCTCCCTTTCTCTTCAAAAGGGAAAAGAGAACCTCAATTTCTTTTTGAAAAAAAAGGAAAAGGAAATCAAACAAATATCAAGGAAATGTCAATAATTGTTAGGTACCTGAATAAACTAAAAAAAAAAAATTCCAATTTTGCTTCATCAGGGCATTTGAGGGGAAAGCATTGCCCCCCCCCCCGCAAAAGATGATTTAATTGTATGAAGATAATCATTTATTCATTGCATTTTCCCTGTGGGTTTATTGGGAAATAAAGATACAGATCCCTGCCTCAAAGGGCTCCTGGCTTAACATGGTGAGTCGATGTTGGGGTTTTTTGTGGCTGATAATTTTGACCCCTATAGGGCTCTTCTCCGTTGAACAGCTTTTGCCTTTCAGGATGGACGATGATTATAAGCCTTCGATGACCACATAGAGGGAAAAGGATATGGGGACAGGAAAAGATGATCTGAGTTTACCCTAAAAATTGCTTCTTAATCTCGGCTTCAGTTTCTTCATCTATAAAATAAAGGGCAAGAATTCTCATCCTGCAGTGGTAATAGGAAGGCAAAGGAAATCCTATGGCCGGCTGGTTACAGGGCTATAGCGCAGAGCAGAAGACGGTAAGTTCCTGGGTCAATGTTTAATCGGACACTGCTATAGTAAAGGTGAATGCAGATAAGAAGGTGCAAAGGATGTGAAAAATCAAAAGGTAAAGCCGGCTTGAGAGGCCTTGGGCGGAATGCCTCTGCTGTTCCAGGCGCAGGATCTGGCTCGCCACAGACAGATTCGGGTGGGTTTCCATATATAGACACCCGAACGCTGGGCGCCACCCGACACCAGGAATCTGCTACTGACGCTGGACCTGTTGTCTACGCAGAGGGCACCTTCCCCTTCGCCTAAGCCAGGCGCCCGGGCCTGTGGCCTAGCACAGATTTTTCGCAGCCAACGCTGCAGCGGCTCGGGAGGCATGCCCACACCCTGCCCTGCCCGCATCCCTGCGCCCTGCCCTGCCCGCACCCCCGCGTCGCCAGCCATCCTTACCTGCAGCAGCAGTTTGACCCTCTCTATAGGGGCGACCGCAGTCTTGGAGACGGCAGCGGCGATGCCACCTGCCAGGAAGTCCTTGACGAAGCTCAAAGCCTGATCCCCCATGATGACAGCCCGGAGCTCACAGCCTGCTAGGAGCCGTGCTCTCGCTCTCTCCTACGCGGACACCAGGCACCGCCACCCCGTCTCCGTCCCTGCGCAACGCGAAGGGGCCGCCCGGCTGGCCCGCAGCTCTCCTTATATCCCCCGCGCGGCCTCTCGCGAGAAGAGGAGGGTCCTCCCGGCAGGCGCGCAGAGCGTATTGGCTGGGCAGGTGCCGGGCCACCTCCTCTCCATCCTCCTCCATTGCAGAGGGCATTGGGGGCGAAGGAGCTTCCGGGAGCTAGGGGTGGGTTGGGGGCTGTGCCTGCAGCTTGGGACATTTAAAGGGCAAATTCATGTTATCTGTCCCGGTGAGCACAGGGAACACCGTGTCTTTGCAGCATGTGGGCCGTTGTATTTATAGCTCAAGAGGGTTTAGCACTGGGCCGACCTGGGGACAGACTGTGGACTCTAATGGATGCACTCCTGGCCAAGAGATTTCTGGCTCTTTTCTTCTTTGTAATAGTGCCCCTTACCACTCGCTGTCTGGATTTTGAGCTCACTCTGGGTTCCTGTCAAATTAGCATCCTCCCAAATACGTATTAACATCATCTGATGCTGTGATTGCCTCACAGAGTCCGGCAAGCGCCTGGCTCCCGCTTCTCTTCATTCAGTCGTCGAATCATTCAATCTGTTAGGAAATGTTCATGCACTGGCACTAGGTGCCACCTGGAAAGGCGGAATGCAGGGCCACTAGGTGGATACTTGTTTTAGCTGCGAACGTTCATGTGTGGCTTTTCTGGTAGCTCAGCCTGCCACACTGACCCCGAGCGCGAGAATCAATCAATCTCTCAATTCAACTCCCAGCTCCTAGAATTCTTTTGTAGATCTCAAAAGGCCTTAAATAAGTACCACTCTGCTCTTGATGGACTCTCAGCACATATCCTGGGCAAAATGCTCCAGGCTTCTTGAGGGTCAGAATTGCCAGCTTTCCTGAGGAGGTCGAATCCTTGGCTCTATTTGTCTCTTTATAAAACAGGCAGCTTCTGGAGTTTGGGAGGTGCTTTCTAATCCCAGGAAATTGACTGCAGTTAATTTTTTAATACAAGAGTGTGAGATTTGGTTTTCATCACCTCTTTTTAAGGCAATTCAGATAGCCATGCAGATTTTTCATAGTGCTGTTTCTTTCCATAGAATGAGTTCAGTTTTTAACACTAAGCTCCTTACTCTGTTCTTTCCTCAGTTTGCTGATCTTTGCACATCTGACAAAGCTTATTCATGTTGTTATGCTTGCTGTTCGAAGCAGACTTCATCTTAGGTGTTGACTGAGCTGCAACCGTATGTCACTTTGAACTGACAGACTTTAGTAGAGCAGAGGTCACTAGTTGGGTGGCAGGAGCACTTTGGGGATGTATATATATATATGAGATTGGGGGCAGGTTAGAGTTCAGACGGAAATCAAGGTAAGCAGTGTGAAGGCTAGGGTCCGTTACAAAATTGCTAAATGTCAAAGCAGCTGGAAATAAGCAAAAAGCTCTTATGCATTCATTCAACAGACACAGCTGAGCGTTTACTGTGTACCAGGAATTAGGTGTAGTCCTGTGGAGTCAACCTAAGTAAAACACGGGTCATCTCCAGGGACCTTGCAGTTCAGTATGTGTGTCACAATTTCATATGGAGATTTCCATGGCCGATGTAACCCACATATGGATCATTTTCAGTCATGATTGTGGACTATAGTCTATCCTATTAATATTGAACAGCAGCGGAAGCCATTGTCCTTCTAGTTGTACATTTAGAGCTGTTGCTCTTTTTAATTGTGAAAAGTCATGCTACTACATAAACACTTGCAAAACCTTCATTTTCTTCTTTAAGCATTTTCCTTCTCATATATTACCAAATTGCAATGGACAGATTGGCTGTTTTAAAGGTTTGGCAACTCCTGCTATGTATTCAAAAATTATTCTTGAGCCATTGAGTTGGTTCAACTGGGTAAAGTTACTTCCTGTCAAATCTGATGACCTGAGTTTAATTTCTGGGTCCCACAAAGTGGAAGGAGAGGAATGCCTGCCAAAAGTTGTCCTCTGACCTGCACACACACACACACACACACACACACACACACACTTTTAAATTATTGTGTTTTTATGTGTATGAGTGTTTTGCTTGCATGTATGTGAGTGTGCCATGTGGGTGCAGTGCCAAGGAGGCCAGAAGAGGACATAGAATCCTCTGGAACTGTAGTTAAGGATGGTTGTTAGCTGCCATGTGGGTGCTGGGAACTGAACCCAGTTCCTCTACAAGAGCAGCCAGTGCTCTTAACTGCTGAACCATCTCTCCAGTCTCCTACTAATTAATCAATTAATCAGTGAAAATTATTCTTCAGAGGGGAATCCGAAGCCCTCTTCTGACCTCCGCGGCATTGCATGACATGGGTGCACTCACATACATGCAGGCAATACACTCATACACATAAAATAAAAATAATAAATACACATTAAAAAAATCATTCTTCAGAAAAACAGGCCCACCTATAAGATAATGAAGTCTTGTTTTTCACAGTCCTTCCTCCAACATTGGCTTAAAAAGAACATATTTTAGTGATTTGTGGCATTTCATGTGTTCTAATGTGTACTTCTTTAAGATTTATTTTTATTATATTTAAAGTTATGTGTATATGTGTGTGTTTATGTGCAGGTATGTGCACATGAGTACAGATGCCCATAGGATCCAGAAGAAGGCATCAAATTCTCTGGAGCAGGAGTTACAGGTATTGCGAGCTACCAGATGTAGGTACTCAGACCTGAATTTGGGTCCTCTGAAAGAGCGCTATATGCTATTAATCACTGAGCCATCTCTCCAGCCCCAAGGTGTGTACTTTTTAATTGCTATGAAGCTGTGCATCTTCTTTATGATTCAATTTAAATTTCCTTATTGCAAACCTTTAGTCTTCCTTGACTTCCAGCATGAAAGCAGTGTTTATATTAACAACAATTATTTATATACTTGAGACAATAAATATGTGTGGAATGATTTTCATTTTTTTATTTGATATTTATTTTACTATGTTGTTCTATCAGTGAGCAAATGTATAGTATGGACATACACTTTATGTTCTCCATAAAGGTATCTTTCCTATAAATATATTATTGACTCATCATAGGAATATTAGTCTGTTTTCCTCTAGTTTGGTAAGAAAAATGTCTTTTATTTTACTTTTTTTCTAGACGAAGCATTTCATTACAGCTTTAACATATTCAGTAACACATTCCAGAGCAAGGATAGATCTCTTTCAAAAGTGGCTGTAAATTTTTAGGTTCACAGTTGAATTGATGCAGTTATACAATATGGAACTCAGTATAAACCCTGTCTTTGATTATTTTTTGGCCTTTGGAACAGAGTACGTTGCTAAGAGGCCCAAGGACATTTTGACTTTTAGCCAAGAAACTGGCTACTTTTCTTTGGTCTTTTTACCCTAATTGCTTAGCCAATTCCTACCTTCTAGTCTTTTTTTTTTCAGCTAAATTATTTAATTTTACTTTTTAAAATTATTTATTTAATAGCCACATAATTAGAAGAAGCATTTCATTACAACAGCATTGACATATTCAATAACAATTTCAAGAGCTAAGATGTATCTCTTTCCAAATTGGCTGTAATTTTTTAGGTTTACAGTTGAATTAATACAGTTATACATTACTCAGTATAAACACTATAAGACATAAATTTGAATGAGGTTTTAACCTTTAAAAAAGATTTCCATTTTATTTTAAAATATACTGTTTCCTACAGAAAAACTCATTTTTTAATGCTACTAACACTTACATGTTTGCACATGTGTCTTTAATCTCTATGTATCTGATAATTACTAGTCACAGTCAGTTACTTTCTGAGATCCACCTAAGCATGGATATAAAGTCCTCGGGTAGATTTCAATGGTAATGTTTATCACAAAGATTTCTAACAAACATTATGGAAAGGAGCTATGTATGCAGTTTCAATTTTCCCACACTGTTCTTGGATATGACAACATATTTATTATTTGTCAAAGGTGACTATTCTAGTTTATCATATATTAAGTTATTATGGTGACTTAAAATTTATCAAATCTCCACAATATGATGTATTTCTTTGATCATTATCCTTTTAAAAAAGGACTACAAACACTTAAAAGATGAACTTTATTTACTTCTATGTCTGGACATTTTTTATTATCAAACTGTTCAAGTATTAAAATAGCACCAGAAGCTTTTGTTCCTTTTTTTCTTTTTTGGGGGGAGGGGGCTTTTTGTGACAGGGTCTCCCTGTAGTCCCAGCTGGCCTGGATTTGCTATGGAGACCAGGCTGGCCTCGAACTCACAGAGATCTGACTGCCTCTGCCTCCCGAGTGCTGGGATTAAAGGCGTGCGCCACCACACCTGGATTAGCACCAGAAGCTTTTAAACAGACATTTAAGTTGAATATAAATTGTATTAACATATTCAGAAAATATTGTCATCTCGGTAACATCTAATTGCATTAATCAGAATTTATGCTCTTTTCTGAGTAGAAGTAATGTATTTCTCTTTGGCTCTCCAGTCATGAAGGGAGGATCAGCTGGAACGTTCACAAGAGGTTTTCCACAGAAGCCCAGGCCCTTGTCCTCTCTGTCCATGGACTTTCTCAGGAAAGAGAGGCCTCAGATGCCCTCAGGAGCATGAGCAGCCTGTTGATCACAAGACGAGGGTATCACTTACACAGGCTGGGAGAGAATGGAGAGGCAGAACATGTGTCTCTGGGCCAGGCCCAGTACTTGGTGGCCTGTGGCCAGTGAGAGAAGGAGCATGCATCTACATAAGAGGAAACTGTGCCCTCCAGTATGGTATGATATCAGGGAGGCCTAGGCAGGGTACACTTTGTAGAAATGAGACTATAGAATTGAGCAGGCTTTTTGGATTTTCAGTAGAAGCTTTTTACAGATTTAATCTCTTTTACCAAATTTGGAGCTGAGAATGGGAGTTGCTGAAGGGAAAAAGGAACAAGAAATAATGAAAAACACCTAAGAATTTGCTGATGATGGTGCTAGCTCACTGCCGTGTACAGGTGTGCATCTCAAACAGTTAGGAATTAGAGGCTCTACACAGTCAATTCCAGCAGAGCAAAGAAGATCAAAGTATCTATT